AGGTTCTTCTCATAAATCTATTTTGAATTTACTTGAATTCTCCTTAGAATTTCCATGAAAGTAACATCAGAAATATCATAAATTTCTGCTTAGAATAATCTTGGACTTCCCCTGAATTATATCGGAAATTCAATTCGTATTCGCATCAGAATTCCCATGGTATTTTCTCAGAATTCTCAAAACAAAAATCCATCTCAGAATACCCTTGAAACTCTTCGCAGAATTCCTTTGAGATTGAACCCTCAAAAGCCGATTCTATTGGAATTCTTCTCGGAATTTATTTCGAACTCCTTAGAGTTCTCTTGGAAGTATCTTCAGAAATCATCCCAGAATTCTTTTACAACTTCCTTAGTGCCCAAGTACTCAATTTAAAAATGTTGTTGATATTTTTCCATTTCACTCTATTTTAGTTGTGAAAAAGACACTGTTTAGGGAAATAGTGACTTTAGTGACTTTTTGGTTTGAAAAGTGACTTTTTAGTGACTGACTTAAAAATAGTGACAAAGTCACTAAAAAGTTACCTACTACCAGCCCTGCGATATGAAGCTTTAAAGGGCAAGATTCAAGAGAAAATTTATCACCAAACCCACGGTATTAGCCAGGGTGCCTATTAACTGGAAAAACCTGGAAAACCGCAAATCCTTAGGGAATTTATTTTTTCTTGAAAATATCTGTAAGTCCCAGGGAATATACAAACATTTAGTTTTTTTTTACGATATGTTCATTCACTCAATGAACTTTATACATCCAAAGTGGACTAATCTTCAGTAACAAATAAATTTATAAAACTCAGAGACTTAAAAGGCTATTTTTAACCCACAAAGCCGAGGATGAAGGAAGGGTAATGGCTGAATAGTCTATGCGGACCACTTGAACGCCATGGGAAAAGGAAGGGATTGAAGAGGTCGGTTATTAAGGGGTTTTTAAGAAATGACACATAGTACTAGATTTTTTTTTTATTGGGTATCAAGCTGGAGCTGCGTGACAGCTTAATTTTCAAGACTTGACCCATTTGAATAAATTTTGCTTCTATCTTTGACAATACAGCAGAAGGACTAGCCTTTATTGGCCGCTTGAACACTGGATTCCGTATGTATTGTTTCAAGATAGTTATAGAAAAAATGCTGTGACGTGTGCGCGTAGATACATCCGCGTAGTAAACCGATTGAATAAGTAAATCCGTTTCGAACGAAATATCTAAATTATGTAAGTTACGAAAACCGCTCGAATTCCGAATGCCGTGCGAGACAACCGAAGCGAGAAAAAAGGCTTATTATCATTTAAAGAGTGCCACCAAAATAAATGTGATAGCCTATGTTGGCAAGTTGATTAATTTTGGTTTCTTTCATAGATATTCTACTAGATATAGTAAGAGCTATGTTTAAATTTAGTTATTTTACCGCACGTATCAATCATTTCAAAATTTCGCGACCGTACCGAACAAATTCTAAACTACATAAACTCAAAACACTTTTGGCAAGCTCTACCGAATTGCGAATCACTTCTGCGTAAGCTCCGTAGACGTAGGCGCGTTGATTCCGACAGCCGTGAAAAGTTAAACATGCATGGATGCGTCAATACCACATAAGAAAAGATCGATTTTACAGTCACGTAGTTCATAGATTAACATTGACTGCTGTTTACAAATGTAAGTACTTGAACACTAAAATATAAGTTAACTCAAATGCTTTAACCGCATATATAAGAGATTTCGCGTATTGAGAGATTAATATAGTTATCGAGTACAATAAACTCAGGGGAAAACAATACCTACAAAAGATTAAAAGTTATCAATTGTCACATACCTCTACTTTTACTTATTTCCTAAACTATTCCTCTTCTTGTTAAATTGGTTTGCTTGCGTTTTATTATTGAAGTTCAAGACTAAATAGGAAAATTTATTATACAACTTTAAAGGTTGGTTGCCTCCCTAAGCGGACCCCCGCATCATAATTGTTTTGTTAATCTACCTAATGTTATTAGACTTTCTGCATTTTCTTATTTAAGTTCGTTTGTTGATTATGATATCTCATTAGTCTAATTTAATAAATAATTGAAATCTCTAATTCACCTAATCAATCATAACCCATGCTTTATTTAGTACCTGCACTTGTGCTTGTAAACGTGTTTCAAGTTGTATTTGACTTTGATCTATATTTATTATATATTAGTTCGTCCCAGGTGACACCCTCAAGTGACTAAAATGCTTCACTTTGGTTTGGTTGTTGGTTTTGGTTTTCGTTTGGTTTCCTAGCTGATTTTTAAATTATATAGGGTATATGCTCCATCTATGCTCACACGCTTCCACTATGTCGCACCACAAAAATACGTATGAGTGAGTATGTCACAATAGAAGCACGCCACAGTGGAAATCCCGAGCCATAGTTCAAACACTTATCCCAAATTAAAATATGTGCTTCATTTTAATTTGGGATTAGTTACAATACCATGTACAAAAATGGCGTTTAACATTGTTCCCTAAGTAATAAATAAATCTATCTGCGTAAAAAATAAAAATAAAATAAGGGTGATATGCGGCAAAGCCCGTCAGTATCGCATCCAACGTCAGTGCGTATACGCAAGCGTACTACGACGCGGCTCTCAAACAAAGGAGTAGTAACAAGTGTGATACTATCACTGCTGAACTAGATTTTTGGTTTTCTGATGAACCAGAGAGGGGAAGCTTAGTAATGCCCATTGCTTGCCCATGGCGCCATTCTATCGCGGCATGAGTCAGAAACGCCGGCCATAAACCTACCGTCTCCAACACTCCACTATAAAGCATGAAATTAAGCCCGCCCACCAACAGCAAGGTGCCAAAACTAGCCAAAGGGAGGGAACTAGATCAAAAACCCTACTTGATATATAATTTTTATTGCGTTCTAGAAATTCTCTCGAAGTTTCGCTGAAGTTTCCGGAAATTCCCTGAGTTTCTCGAAACTTTTTTAAGGTTTCTGCAATTTTCATGAAATAATTTCAACGCCTCTTTGATTCTCTGAGCTGTCTTGATGTTGTCGGAGCTTCCCTGTAGCTTTCAACTCTATCGAAAATCTCGGTTCTGCTCTGAAATAAATGGAATTTTCGAAACTCCTTTGAATTTTCTTGAAATTCTCTGAACTTCTGTGAAAATCCTGGAATTTTTCTGAAATTTTCAGAAATTCTCTCAAGGGGCTGTTCATAAACTACTTAGACAGTTTGAGGTGGGGGGATGACAACTATCCATGGCCCACAAATTAAAAAAAAATGTTTGGACAATTCTCGCGCAACACGAGAAAAGGGCCTATCATTGTTGATCGATTCTCTTCATCGATTTTATCTTTCGCGAATAACCCGACTGCAAATGAATTCCCCATTGCATGTGGTATTTCAGGTGCAAACTAACATCATCTTCTGTCGAAATGTGCTGCGAGCTTAGCGAGAAACTCGTTTATGTTGCCGTGGTAAACCAAAGAGACAGTCGATGAAGAGAATCGATCAACGAGGATAGGCCCTTTTCAAATGTTACGCGAAAATTGTCTACGCAGGGGGACGGAGGGGGTCAAGAATCCAAAAAACTTGTCTACGTTGTTAATGAACAGCCTCCAAGGCCCTGATATTCTTAAGGGTTCTCGATTTTTTCATAGCACATCATGGAACTATCCTGAATTTGTCTAAACTCACTCTTATAGATCTTTAAACTGCGACTAAGGTTACAGGAACTGCCCTAAAGATTTCTGAAATTCCCCAAATATATCTAGATCTAGCTTTTCTGAGCTACTTAATACTTCTTAAATGTTTCCACAACTTTCCTTAAGTTCTCTTTATTTCTGAAGTACTCTTGGCACCGGTGAAGTTCTCTGAAATTCTAGGCACTTCTTAAAAGTTCCTGCAGTTCCTCGGATGCTAACAGAAGTGGTTCTTAAAGCTTCCAGTAAGTTCCCCATATTTTCAGAATGTAAACTTCCCGTATGTTCTCGCAGTTTGTTTATGAAGCTTCGCTGAAATTCTCAGCATTCCCTTTCATTTCTCAAAACTTTTGTAACGTTCCTACATAGCAAAAAAAGTTGTTGAATATTACATCGAAACTGCTGCAACCAGGTCAATCCATCGGTTGTGTAATATCACATTGTACGATGTACATCGATTTTGCGAACAAAATTACATCCATTGCTGTAATATTGTATCTGCTTTCTGCTATTACATCATTATTTCATACATCAGCTTGAATTACGTTGATTGATATTACATTTTTTTTGCTGTGAACAATTGTTGTAAAGTCAATGGCACTAAAGATCTCTAATCGTCCATAAAATTAGTTGCAAACTTCAAAAAAATCTGGCACTTTGAAAAAAAAAAACGAATCTTCAGAAAATAGCATATTTTGAGAACTACGAATTACTCAAATTAAATAAATATTAATATTCAACATTTAATAGATTTGATTGTCATGTTGTACAAAAAATAACGTATTTTTAGTAGACACTCTGTAAATAAAGAAAGGCGATTAAACATCCAAAAGCTCTGTAGAAGCAACACATTTTACAATTATTCGAAAATTAGAACAGCCTGCAGGCATCGAAAGGTCTTCACAAGTTTACCCAAGAAACCCTATTCTTAGGACGCTCTGTTAAAGTATAAATCGAGTTCGTTCTAGGCGGTGGTGGCCCCCTCCAAATTGGTGCCCCTGGCTTTAGCCCACCATCACCCTCCCGTTAATACGGTACTGATCCAAGCAATCTCAAATTCAAGCGAAATTAGTTCTGCTTTGTTCATTTTCTAGCCCATTAAAAATTATGCCAAACGTCCGTTATGCCTAACATCCTCATGCCAACCATATATTATTCCTGACATAGGAAGGGGCAACCCTGTTGGTGTCAGTGGTTAGACTTTTTTTTGCAAAGAATTTTTGACGTATCCTTGTCAATCTAAGCAAACCGGGTTTAGAACGAATCGCGAAATGGGGCTCCAGTTGACCCTGGATTATCAATCCGGATTTTTTTTTACTTTTCACCAACACTTACCTGTCCTTCGGAGTCCACCTGCCACGCCGTCAAGCAAGGCGTACACAGCAGATGCCCGCAGGGTTCGATCCTTATATCCTTATCGTTTTCGGCACAGATTTTACACAGCTGGAACGTGCTCCCTGTTGTTGGGGAAAACCGAATGCGTCAGTGGATTTGAAATTCTAGATCATCGCGCGGGACTTGATTCGAATCTTACCCATCTCACAGTAGAGTTCGTACTGCTCCTGCGTCACCGTGATGTGATCCTCTAGGGGACTCTGCACGGCAAACGAGAGATCCGGATTCTGCGGCTTCCCGTCCGGGTACAGATAGAAGCCTTCCCTGTTGTTGTTTTTCGATGATATTAAAGATTAAGATTGGGTTTCAACAATGGGAATTCATCGCGCACACTTCGATTATTTTACGGCAGTCAGTATTTTGTGCTGGGGCTTTGAATTGCTATTAGTCAGTCAAATCTATCATTAAATGGAGTCAACAGAACTAAGTATGCACAAGCTCGGAATAACTTTTCTCGTTTTTAATTTTTCCACAGATTTTTAAACTTTTACCGAACAATTCCGCAATTCAAAAACCCAATTGCTGACGGGATGAGTGTGCACATCCGGAAACCTACCTGTGACCATCTAGTAAAGCTTGACATAATGACTTGTTTTGGGGAATTGTTTGGAGGATGTCGCCTTCCACCGTTACGTAACCTATCGCCCACTGACCTAGTCGTGTGCAGGATAATCTGTGCCGGGATAAAAGCGATCAGTGGTATTGGATATTGCTCAGCTGCCGAAGGACCCTTACCTGAAAACATAACTACCAGCCTTAGTGATATACTTCTGTAAGCGTGCCTTGACTTCGTCGTACGTTAGGAAGGCGACGTAGCCCGAGTGCGTCACAGCAAGGATTTGCCAATTTCTCAGCAGCGTATTCCATGGTTGAAACAGCCTGCGGGGGTACAGGAAATTTGTGCCGGTTAGCTTCATCGACGGAATCGATAGATTCACAAAGACCACTCACCTAGTAAACACATCAAATTCAAAATTTGATATATAATCATTGCACGTTAAGTCTATGGTGGTTTTGAGTGCCATCGCTTCCAGCCCGGAAGAGATGGGATGCACCTGCGATAGCTCTTGCCGGAAAAGCTTCCACGGAACGAGTGTGCTGCAAAATAGAGAAAGAGAAGAATCGAAAGAGAGCAAACTTTAGTAGGTATTCTGTTTTCAATATAATGTCAAGGTACCGGCTTCCATTGAAAACGATTCAATGTGGAAGGCTTCGGTTGATTCTGGGTCGATCGAATTGAAGAAGGAAAAATTTTCAGCCGAAGGAAGTACATAATTATTTCTACAACGATGTACACGTGTTGCCCGCGGGGGTTGCAATTTCTATTGAGAGTATGATGAACTTTCGCTTTCATTTCTTTGGTGTGCTCATTCCACGTGTCCATTTATTCTCGATTATAATTGGAAATCTCGCCATATACTTTGATTTTAGGGGGGGGGGGGACCGCGGAAAGAAAGGAGGAATGAAGGAATCATCCCCCGGGATGACTTCCGGCAGACCTGGATGCAGCACGACGACGAGAGGACGATCAAACTTGCACAATACGAACATGTATAAATGTGAACATCTACGCCAGACAAAAGCCAACCGGCTGTCGCACAAATGCGGTGGCGGCGCGGAAAGGAAAAGTTTTTAAAAATAATTACACATTTTAATAAAAGAGACAGCAGCAGCACACTTTGTTCTGGTTTGCGTTTGGGGAAAATTGAATGTGGTTCTCGGTGTGGCACAGCAGCACCAGGGAAGGGAGTGGGCGTGCAATTTGAAATGAATGAAACTTCTGCAGGCTGTGTGTGTGTGTGTGTGTTGAATGGTGAAAAGTTAAGCGATTAAATTTCTTTTCATGAGAACATGAATGATTGTATGGGGGGCTATAATACTGATCAATTCATATTAAAGTTGGAGTGAGTTGTAATGTTTCATTTTCACTTACTTTAATGGCAGTTTCTTGCTAAACGTTCTAAGATATATCAAGCTGAACATTGCATTGGGTCCTAAGTAACATTGACAGATTCTCTTCGTCGACTTTCTCTTTGTATCCCCACGGCCATGTAAAGACATTCCAAGGTATTTTCAAACACAAACACAATAAGAAGCGGTTATGTGCTGAAGTTATTAACGAAAGAGAAAGTCGACGAAGAGAATCGATCAATGTTACTTGGGACCTAATGCAATGTTTAGCTTGATAAACAAACCAAATTTGATATATTAATATCAATTCCGATTCTGTTATGGTATAACACTACTTCGGCACAAGCACCCTTTTCCGCCATATGGTGCAGAAACGTGCTTTCGAAGAGAACGATTTCAATCATACATTTGGTACGAATGATTAGTTCAAAAAATACAAAACAAAGTCTTTAGGAACGATCAAAAATTGGTCAGTCATGAAAGTGCAAACCGATTATGTTATTGTATAAGTGATCAAATTTTAATTCTTTTTGAAGTTCAATGACTACAAAATACAGGAAAATTATTTGATTAGGCATCGGATTTTCCAAATGCGAACTGTCGGGCTTTTTAGTTTCTCACCTTCCACCTATTGTGTACCACATTAATTGATACTGAACGTCAATTTGCTTTGAACGGTTTCTCATTTCCAACTGTTTTCTGAGTTTTATTGAGATTCCGCGTAACGATTGCCCAATATTTTTCAATTGGGTGCAGCTCCGGCGAGTTTGCAGGGTTTTGTCCTTGGGTACGAGTTGCACGTTGTTGGCAGTATAACGTTCATGAGCCTTTTTCCCGTAGTGACAGGAAGCGAGGTCTGGCCAAAACAGCACGGAACAACTGTGTTTCTACAAAAAAAGGCAACAATCGTTTTTGAAAACATTTTTGGTTGATAATGTCAGTTGTCACGAAAATTTTGCTTTTCAGCCCACAGGTGCAAATCGCCTACCAAAACCAAGCATTTTTTCGGGAACTTTGACATCTTTTTCGGTTTTCAAAAGTGTTTTTATGTTACTTCATACGCGAAGTTTGCGATTTTCAGAGTTGGTTGGAAATGCTAACATGAAGCTTTAGTGTGATAATTTATGAGCTAGTAAATGGTCTTTAGAAGAGTGTAGGTGGATAGTTCCGTTAGAGTACGGCAGTATGAAAATTAAATAGAAGTCGAAAATGAGCGAAGGACCATTAATGCGACAGTACAAAGTCAAACGCACACCTTTTTGCCTAACCCGTACGATGTACTCGGAGTATGTCTTCATCCTCATTTTCAACTTCTATTTAATTGTCACACTGCCGTACTCTAACGGAACTATCCACGTACCCTCTTCTAAAGATCATTCTCTAGCTGATAAATTATCACACTAAAGCTTCATTTTAGCATTTCCAACCAACTCTGATCTTTTTCGGCTTAAACTTATCTTGAACCTTTCCTTTTCCAGTAGCCGTGTAAACTCTTGACCTGGGAGCTGCTTGACATCCGCCTTGACGTATATTTCATCGTTCATCATAACGCAATCAAATTTCTAACGCAATCAATCTGCTTGGGAATAATTTAAATTTCGCTAACGCGCGAGCAAAATTTTGATACGCTGATCCTCTTGCTTCGACGCCATTTTGACGACAACTGAATGGAAAATGGCAAAAACAAAATAGAGGCAACATTCCATACGCACAGACCTACAAAATGAGGAGTGTTCAAGTTTTTTAAATGCACGATAAAAAAAAAAATTCGCCAAATTTGAGTCGACCAATTTTTGACCGTTCCACCCTTTATATGAATATTTACATCCATTCTTCTCAAATACAAAAGAAGCGCTCCTATCGAATCTATTTTTTCTGCATTCATCCTTATGCCGAACTGTATAATCCAATGATTCCAATGAGAGTGAAGAATACTCCTCCCAATGGATATTCGACTTCGCTAAAAAGGTTTGTCCAGACTCTGTACCAGCACAACCAACTTTACGGGATACAGCCCGAAGTAACGGCCCGCTGGATGAACGATTCACAATGCTGGAATTTTCAATGGCACTTCTTTCATCGAATAACTCTGCTCCGGGAAGCGATATGATCAAATTCAGGCCTCCAAATTCGACCTTCTAAAAAACCTCCCCGATATCGCTAAGAGACGATTACTTAACCTATATAATTCATTTATGGAATTCAATATAGTTCCACCAACATGGAGACAGGTTTAAGTAATAGCTATTCAAAAGCCTGGGAAACCAGCGCAGGGTTGGTAGCCATCACTGCCGTCAAAAATAGTGATTTTAGTGGCCATGTTAAAGAAATAAGTGACTAAATAGTGACTTATAGTTGTGAAAATAGTGACCAAAAAGTGACCCTGAATTGAATTAAAAGTAAATTTTATTGAAAATTAGGAATTTCTGAGGAGCACAACTCCTGTGAACTTCAATAGAAAATTTCAATTGCATTCTGAGGATAATTTCATAAAGTTTGTGGTAGGAAACAAATTCGGAGCATAAGACCATGGATTTTTTTTTTGAAATACGAAAAGAAGGATTACAATTAAATCTGAGAATAACTCCAGGACATCTTCAAAGGAATTTGGAAAATAAATTCAGGAGACTTTTTCAAACAAATTATGAGAAGAAATCTAAGGAAATTGTGAGTAGAAATGCCAATGAATTCTTAGGAGACTTTCAATGTGAGTAGAATTCCAAGCGAAGGAGTGAGAATAAGAATCTGAAATGAATTCAATGAATATTCTGATAATCGTTCCAAAGGGTGTCTTATTGTGGAGAATTTCAAGGTAATTACGAGGAAAACCAAAAGAAAATTGAGTTCGGAGGATAGTTTCATCGAAATAACCATTGAATATGGAACTAAAGGGTGTCCACGATGAAATTGCCACACTATGAAATTGCTCTAACTTTTTAACCGTTGGGTAGAATTTAATGAAAATTTGGGTGGATTTAGTTCAAAGTGCATTATTTGCATCCTGCAAGTTTTAAAGTCCTGTGATCAAAACTCGCGGAAATGGAGTCGAAAGAACAGCTCGTGCGTGATAAAATCTTGCGCATTCATCACGAGAACAAGGATCTCTCGCATCGTTCCATCGCTAAAACGTTGGGAATCGCGAATTCCACGGTGTCGCGAGTGATTAAGCGGTTCGAGGAACGGTTGACCACCGATCGGAAGCCCTGAAGTGAAGGAAAAAGTATTCCGTACAACACCAAAAATCACAACCGCGTAGTTGGGGCCTTCAACCGAAATCCGAACGCCTCCGTTAGGGATGTGGCTAAGAAGCTGCACCTAAGCCGAAGTTTTGTCCAGAAGGCCAAAACTAAGGCTGGGCTTCGAACGTTCAAGGTACAAAAGGCCCCTAATCGCGACGAGAAGCAGAACAAGTCCGCCAAAACCCATGCCAGGAAGTTGTACCTCAACATGCTGACGAAAGTTGAATGCTGCATCATGGACGACGAAACATATGTGAAGGTCGACTTCAAACAGATCCCCGGCAACCTGTTTTTCACGGCCAAGGATAAGTTCAGCGTTCCGGAGCATGTCCGCACTCAGAAGATGTCCAAATTTGCGAAGAAATTCCTGGTTTGGCAAGCCATCTGCACGTGCGGGAAGCGGAGTGCACCTTTCGTGACACGATGAACGGACAGGTGTACATAAAAGAGTGCCTCTAGAAGCGGCTGATTCCTCTCCTGAAGGCCCACAACGTCCCAACAATCTTCTGGCCGGATTTGGCCTCATGCCACTACTCCAAGGACGTGCTGAAGTGGTATGCGGACAATAAGGTCAATTTCGTGCCGAAAATGTTCAACCCTCCCAACACTCCGGAGCTCCGCCCCATCGAGGGGCGATTATGAAGCAGCACCTTCTTAAACGACCTAAGGTAGTGAAGACAGTCGAGGAACTGAAGAAAGTATGGGTTTACATGCAAAAAACGGTTGATTCACAGGTTGTGCAGAATCTTATGGCCGGGGTTAAGGCCAAGGTGCGGGCATTTGCGTATGGACTGTAAATAAAATACGAGTAAAATGGTAAAATGAAGTTTAATAGTTATTTCTCAATCCCTGAAAATTTGATGGCAATCGGATGAAAACTCGAATTTTGCGAATCAATTTTGTGTGTGGCAATTTCATCGTGGACACCCTTTATTCGAGAACTTCCCA